ACTCACGGATCTAAAGGTAATGTCCAGACACAAACATCTGGGAAATGTCCCTCTTCCGTGGGCATCCCGTTTTGCCGCGCTTCGGAGCCATACTTAAAAGATAGCGCTTTAAATCTGGGGTTTTCGGTTACCTGCGGGACAACTGCGGACTTTCACCTGTCTGATCGTTCCACCAGTGCGCAAAATCTCTACACATGTGCGGATCAACAAGGGCGTGCTGTCACGTCTATGCGCATGCACAAAGTTTTTTTTAAAAAAATTAAACCACCGCGCGCCTCCTTCAACAAGGATGTGTTGTGATGCCTATGCGCATGCGCAAAAAGTTTTTTTAAAAACCACCACACGCCTCCTTCAACAAGGATGTCCTGTGATGCCTATGCGCATGCACAAAAAGATTTTTAAAAACCACCCACGCCTCCTTCAACAAGGACGTGCTGTGACGTCTATGCGCAAAAACCCCCACCGCGCATGCCTCCTTCAGTGGACGCCATCTAGACAATCCACAACAGAGGCAGCGCGCGGTAAGGGGATTCACCAGGGGGATGTCTGGCATTCCGCCTGTTCCCACCGCTATACCTTCCCCTCCCCAAGAGCACCGGAATTCCCTGCCCAGCCATCACTGCACTAGTTGATCTTTGAGTGCCCCTTAGCGCGTCCACTATTGTCTACTCAGACCAGCAGTGGCTCTCCAGGGTCTCCGGGAGAGCTCTTTCACGTCACCTACTGCCTGGTTCTCTTAACTGGAGTTGCCGGGGATTGAACCGGGGACCCTCTGCATGTCAAGCAGATTATCTACCACTGAGCCACAGTGCCTCCCCAACATGCACACGAAGCTGCCTTATATGGAATCAGACTCTTGGCCCATCATGGTCAGTCTCGTCTACTCTGACTGGCAGCGACTCTCCAGGGTTTCAGGCAGAGAGGTCTTTCCCATCACCTCCTACCTGGTCCTTTCAGTTTGGTGTAGTGGTTAAGTGTGCTGACTCTAATCTGGGAGAACCGGGTTTGATTCCCCCACTCCTCCACTTGCACCTGCTGATGTGACCTTGGGTTAGTCACAAGCTCTGGCACAGCTGTCCTTGAAAAAGAGCCATTTCCATCAGAGCTCTCTCAGCCCCACCCACCTCACAGGGTGTCTGTTGTGGGGAGGGGGAGGGAAAGGAGTTTGTAAGCCGCTCTTGGACTCCTCTGGGTAGTGACAGGCGGGGTATAAATCCAATCTCTTCCTCCTCTTCTTCTTCTTCAATTGGAGATGCTGGAGATTGAACTTGGGACCTTCTGCATGCCAAGCAGAGGCTCTTCCACTCAGCCACAGTCCCCCTCCAGTCCCTGCTCTATAAACCAGAGGTGGGCAAATCACAGCTGGGGGGCATTTAGTGCCCAGGGGAGCTTCTCATCCATCTGCCAGTTTAGTGTAGTGGTTAAGAGCGGCGGACTCTAATCTGGAGAACCAGATTTGATTCCCCACTTCCCCGCTTGAAGCTAGCTGGGTGACCTCGGGTCAGTCACAAGTTCTCTCAGAGCTCTCTCAGCCCCACCTACCTCATTGTTGTGGGGAGAGGAAGGGAAGGAGATTGTAAGCCGCTCTGAGACTCCAAGTGAAGGGCAGGGTATAAATCCAACTCTTTGTCTTCTTCTTCTCTCAAATTGTTCAGTGATAATGTGTTGGAACGTCAGCCTGCTGGTCTACAGGACTGACCTGTGAGTTGATGCAGTCCCAAAAAAACCTTTTAAAAGCGCAAGAGCTGAGGGCCATCCAGAGCGACAAGAGAGCGGAAGCTAGGTCTGGGAGACCTGGGTTCGAATCCCCATTCTACCATGGAGGCTCACTGGCTGACCTTGGCCCAGTCACACACTCTCAGCCTACCTCACGGGGTTCTTGTGAGGGTAAAATGGAGGAGAGGGAAATGATGTCAGCTGCTCTGGATCCCCACTGGGGAGAAAGGCGAGAGATAAATGACATAAATAATATGCCCAGAACACAAAAAACAGGTCTGTCCCTGAAAAACCAGACCTGGTAGACTTGGTCCTGGGTTAGTAATCCTGGTCCTGATCCTGGGCTTCCCCACATTCTTATTTTCCCTCACTTGTAAGTTCCTGTTTCTTCAAGGTCTTCTTTCTGTCCTGTGTGTGTTTTCCTCCCTCTAGTGGCCAGTTCAATATTACATTGGCACATGTGTGGCATAAAAACCTGCAGTTTCAATCTGCAGGGAGATATGCCGGACGAATGCCGGTGTGATATCGAATCCACCACTAGAGGGAGTCAAACATGAGCTGGACAGCGGGGAAAACCCCTTGACGAAACAGGAATTTATAAGCGAGGCAAATAAGAATGCGGGAAAGCCTGTGCTACAGTTCTCTGCTAGTTCAAGTGGAACATCGGGGGGAAGTCTGAGTATTCTTTCTTGCTCTGTCTTGAAAAAAATGCAGCAATGCCATGGAGCTGTGGAAGGCCCTGGCCACCGACCCCTATTCCAATGCCAAGCTCGTGAGACCGCTGCTCAAACGGCTGCAGGATGAAGACCCCCTCTCGGAAAACTGCAACAGGCGTAACAGCAAGTCCCTCATGCCACTGGCGGTACAAAACCACACCCGTTCTGCTTCCGTGTTTCTTAGGGTTACCATCTCCGGGTTGGGAAACTCCAGGAGATGCGGGGGTGGAGCCTGGGGAGGAAGTGGATTGGGGAGTGACGTCAGTGGGGTCGAAGGCCATAGGGGCCACCCTCCAGAGAAGCCATTTCCTCCAGGGGAACTGGTCCCCGTTGTCTGGAGATGGTTGCCAACTCCAGCTTGGGAAATTCCTGGATATTTAAGCATGGAACCTGTAGACAGCGGTGGGCAGAGTTCAGACTGGCGGTTTGAAGCGGGAGAGAGTCGTGGCAAGATAGAGCCGGAACAAACTGTTCCAGGTCTTCCCATTCACACTGCAGCGACTGGTGCAGGAGCATAACATAACATAAGAACATAAGAGACGCCAATGTTGGATCAGGCCAAAGGCCCATCCAGTCCAACACTCTGTATCACACAGTGGCCAGAAATACCAGTGCCATCAGGAGGTCCACCAGTGGGGCCAGGACACCAGAAGCCATCCCACTGTTGACCCCCCCCCCCTAGCACCAAGAATACAGTATACAGATATTTTATAGATCAGGCATACACATACAACTCATGCTGATTTTAAGTCACCTTCTAGGCTGGGTACATTGTTCACTAGTCCTTTTATAGAGCCCATAAAATAATACCTTTGTTATGGTCCATCAGTGTTAACAATGCAGTGTGAGCTTCGAAGTTGCATGGGACTCTTTCGTGGGCTAGATATCATAAAAGACATTAAAGGGGTGGGAAAGAGCTGACTTTGCATAAAGGGAGGCTACAAGGCCAGCCACTTGACAGGGCTTAATATATGACTTGTGGGTAGGGTTTGGTTTGGTTTAGTTATAGATTGTGTGGATTTGCTTATCATTGGCTAAGTTCAGACCGGCAGTTTGAAGCGTGAGGGGGTCGTGGCAAAAAAAGACCCGGAACAAACTGTTCTGGGTTTTCCGGGTCACACTGCACCGACTGATGCGGGAGCATACCGGGGAGGAGGCGCAATGGAGTGTTCACACTGTTGGCCCAGATGCGTGGCTCTAAGCGGCTTTTAATGGTAATCTAGTTATGTGCGCTTATGAGCATAAGTGCATCCCTAACGGATCATGGCTTTTCGTGTTCACACTTCCGGGAAGCAGGATGGACATGGGAGAATCGCGCTTTCCAGGGTTTGATACCATTTTCACCTGGTATCTTTTAAACTCAGGAGGGAAGCGTTACAAGATGGGTTGAGTACAGTTGGGGAATGCCTGACAGATGTGCCTGTGTGAACGGCCCCTTTAACCCAGTTGTGGAACGTTTCTGAAATGTGCCTATATCGGGGCAAACTGCCAATCTGAACTCAGCCGTGTCTGGGGAAGAGAGGGATGCCAGCAGTGGTATAATTCCATAGGGCCCGTCCTCCAAAGCAGTCGTTTCCTTGGGGCCAACTGGTCTCTGTTGTCTGGAGGGGCAATTCCAGGAGATCTCCTGGTCCCACCTGGAAGCTGACAACCTTATGTGCCCCGACCAAAGACTGAGAGTCACCCGTCTCTGTGTAGGGCTCGGGGGAGGGGCTAGATTCCAGATTAAGAACATAAGAGACACAAGAGACGCCAATGTTGGATCAAGTCAATGGCCCATCCCGTCCAACACTCTGTGTCACACAGTGGCCAGAAATACCAGGTGCCTTCAG